GGCCAGCCGCAGGCTCCTGCCTGGCTTCCCTCTGCCTCTTTTCTTCCTGACCTCCCTTCCTGCCATCTCGGAGCATCCTTTTGGAGAATTTGCTAGATCAGAGCCTGCGTAAGCGCTAGCGCTTATCAGTGGCGTCCTCACCTGACCCTTCTCATCCTCTGCTCCCCTCTCTCCCGCTCATTTCTTGTGTCTGGTCTGGACTCAAACTGGAAGCTCCTCAGAGCAGAACCTTTTCCTTCCAGCTGCCTTCAGCACCAAGCACAATGGTGCCTGGCTGGTATCATTAAGCACCACAGCTGTACAAATAAATAAGAATAGTTTTGATTACACAGTTGAAGTTCTCATCTGAAATAATTTAAACAGTAGTCACAAGCAGTTATGCTGTTTATAATACATATAATAATTTAGGACTGCTAGTTTTTAACTTGTGTAATTTGGATTTGCTTGCAGTTCTCATGGGATAAAGTATATTATTGAACAAGAAAGGAATAACCTATATTCAGAGTAGCTGTAGGGTGCTATGATTTAAAGGAGAGCTGGTGGAATACTACAGGAGAAAATACGCAGGATCCATTATACTGTTAATGAATGCACAATTCAGATTGGTGATTTAATTTTTAGATTATATTTCTCTGGTACCCTCAGGTATAACAGGCTTCATACATAAAAACTGAGTAAGATGGTATGTATTTATGCCCAGTCACACAAAAAACTGATTAATCAAAAAAAATTACTTCCCTGTATTGTTTATTCATTTGCAATTTTTTTTTTTTTTTTTTTGTTTTAAATGACATAGCATTCAAAGAGCATTCTGAGAAGGGCACAGCCATAATTGCTGGTACCTGTTTTGAACCCGTGGTAGTAACCTTTGGGGCAGCCTGATATTTATCCACAGCTACAGACTGTCACTGTATTTAAGCCATGACTAGAGCATCATTTTTTGATCTGGCCAGGAACTTTCTTGAAATAGTCACCACTTCCTTCCTCGGGCAAGGTGGCATGTTAATGATATTTTAAACTCTTGGCTAAGCGACAAATCCCAAAGTCCTTCTTTTTTGCAAGCAGACCTGACTGATGTAAGCAAGACCTACTCCTGCAGGGGCCACACCCATGAATAATTGTCAGAAACTACATTATGCAATGGCTTCTAGCTTTACAAAATGTGATTTATTTTTTTTTTTGGTCCATTTTTTATATTGGCATGTTAATTGTAAGCTTTTTCTACCATCCTTTTTCTGAAATGTGAACAGATGTCCAACTTTTTAAGAAGCCACATATTACAATGGACTGCATTTAAAATCATACAGCCACATCCGCAGAATGAATCTGAAAAGCTCTGAAAATAGACAAAGAAAAGAAGATGCAATCAAAAGAAATTCTGCCTGGCCTTCCAGGTTGTACACCTGCTATTTTAATATTTTTTTTAATCTCTTACAACTAGAGTATCGCTTCTTAAATGAATTTGAAGAACTTGCCCAAGAGACATTCTAATCCGATCGTGTATTATGATGATGCCAGTTGGATGTTATCCTATTAGGCACTCACTGTAAATAAGGGATTTCCACTGACTTTAAATCCTTGATTAATGAGAATGCTCGAAGCAGTGTCCTGTAAATTAGCCATAGTGCTAGCAACAACTGCAATTCACTTAGGAGAACTGATTTTTTTTAAATCTTCCCGTCCAAATTAAAAAGCATGAGGAAAAGATAATGTGCAGTAAGTAAAACATATTACTCTGTCTTGCATTATTGATCTGTACCCCATGGCTGTCTGAGGCCCTCAGGTCTAAATCCTGCTCTCTGTTCAGGAAAACTCCCGTCAGTCAGAGCTCTTCTGGAGAAAGAAGTCTGGTAGTTGGCCCAAAGTATTGCTTTAATTTATGTATGTCTCTAGTGTTTTAGCTAATTCTTAATCCCATTTTAGATTGTCCAATGGTTTCCATTTGCAGCTTGGTCACTGCCATCTCATTTGCCTTTCACAGCGCCTTTGGCTTTTTTTCTGATAAAAATACTTATGAGTGGCAGGAAAGAGGTGCTTGGGTTTGGGGAAAGGGGAGAATAGGGGGAGGTTGTGACACATCTGTTAATTGATACTTAAATTGGAATTCTGCCTGACATATTTGTATGAAGAAAACATTTTTCACACCATCTTACTGCTTCCCTTCTTATTCAAATACTGATACTTGATTTATTGCTTGCAACAAAATTAGTTTTATATCTAGTATTGATTTTGAAACATACTTTATTTCCTTTAAACACGTTGAGACATTAATGAGGTCTTTCTTGACGTGCTGTATTCACATTTATTTAAGGTACTACTCATTTCTGTACCCATAATATACACGCACTTTTATCAGTAAAGAACATCCCTTTGTTCTTGTAGAAGTGTGAATATTCTTTCCATAGATTGGAATTAGTGTCACTTTATAAAGGCAGTTTTGACACTTCCTCTTAAAAGTAACTGAGCAAAGTATCTCTCATACATTAAGATACTTAAAGTGTAGGATTTTTCCATAGTTATTTTCTGGTAATTTTGAATGCAGTGCAAACTGTACAAAAAGTAGAGTTACTTAAACTCTGACCATACTATCCTATATCAAGAATAATCAGAGGCACTGCAATAATTCTATAAGTCTCTCTGATCGTTTCAAGTTGCAAGGGCTACTCATCCACGCGTGTACCAAAGCACCCTTAAACAAAATTCCAGTTAAACCAGTAGATCTCACAGAACATCATTTCTTGCTATGATTATTATGTGTGCATACGATGCTCTCTGTTTAATGGTGTGTGCGTACAGTTCCCCAGCGATCAATTGGTAAATGTTCAGTATTCCGGCTGCAGGTCATAAAAGTGTTGTGTCTTCTCCAGTGTCATGGGCCATGTATGATGCCATGGTTTCACTGACCAAATTGAAACTGTTTGGGAGATGCATGATCCTTTTTTTCAATACTTATTAGTACTTTTTTTATACTTATTATTTGTGCTTTTTACAGTACGAGTTAATGTTTTATGTGCAGGCTTTATTGGTTACCTGGTTGTTTATTTTTTCTTTACACTTTAGGAAAAACATAGGTGCTTTTCCACAGAAAGACTAAGATATTGACTTTTCAAGCTTAAATGTTTGTATTTTGGGGAAAAGAAATGGACATTAGAAATTCAAGAGGATGTTTTCATCTGGCTTTTGTTATAACTCTGTTTTTCTACATGGCAGAAAGGATGGACAACTAGAATACTTTTGTTTGTTTGTTTTTGGTCTCTTTAACTCTCATTGCAAATCTGCCAGCTCACTTTGGCAGCCTTACAGGTTTACAGAGTGGTTTCCCCCAACTATAAATTGTCTCAGCTATAAGGAAAGATCTTTTTGTGATTACGGCATCAAACTGTGACATAACATAGTCATTGTCTATAGCCTTTTTGGTTACCTTCAGCAAGTTACTTCATTCTCTTATGCCTCAGTCTTCTACCTATAGAATATAATATTTTTACAATGGGCTTTTCTTTGTTATGCCTCACATATTAATGAATGTATTCCTGTATCCCTTTCCTACTTCACAGAAGTGCTGAAAGCATATGTTCATTAATATTCTTGAAGCGTGACAAAGAAAAGCCTATTACCGTAATATGCTTTGCTTTAAAACTTCAGTTAGAATAATAATGATAAACAATTTTGGTTAGGCTTTGGCCATAAAATTTTAACATGTTCAGGCTCAAATTGATGAAGTATAACTTTGATGTATTGTAATCTCCCTCTCGTATACTCATGCAAAAAAACCCAACCAACCTAAAAATAATATTTCACATGGACCAAAATGGGTTGTATCTCTTCGTTGGCACATGTATCGTGCAGGAATCCAAGAATGGCTTTTTGCCTGCTATATCTTTGGCCGCTTGTTTCAATATCATGTAGTCTTTTTATTGTCTCTGTGTATTTCCTTCAGTGAGGTGAAGAGAAGCTTGAAATGGACAGTTATGAAACGTCTTGCCCATAGGAAAAGCTTCTTCCTAACCTCATTAGTAATTGCTTGAGAAATGACCAGGAGCATGACAGTTTATATTTCCCTGCTATTATTTGCCCTAATAACTGTAGATGTTCTTATTACATTTATAAATGACTGTTCTCAGAGGTGGCTTGAACAGAAGATATTTCATTTTATCAGGTTCAGATTGATTGCCTCGGTGTTTCATTGAATATCTCCTTGTTCTTGCACTGTAAGAAGCAGTAGATAGGAATCCTTGGTTTCGTTTCTTTATAGCGTGTTGTATCATGCATCCCCTGGTTTGTCTCCTTTGTCTTGATTTATTTGATTTCTTTGTATGAAGAACTGTTCAAGCCCATTTTGGACAGATGTTCCTAGAGCGCCTCAGACCTAAACGCAGCACTCAGGCAATATTTCACTTATTTAAAAAAACAGGATGTTTTCGCTTATTTAAAAAAATAGGAAGATACTTTCTGACACTGCATATGTTTATTATTGTTTTCTTTCCTTGACTTTCTTTTCATTTAATAGTTTTCAACTCAATAAAAGTTGTGTTTGCGTCTTTTCCTTCTTTTGGGCTCTACATCTGAGAAAGCAAGTGCAATTAATGGAGAAAACATCACCAGCTGCAGGCAGTTCAATATTTTGACTCGTTTTTTTAATGCTCTCAGTGTTTTCAGTAATATCATAGTAGAGATATTGGAGATAAAGAGGGAAGCCCAGCAGCCCCAGTATATATATTCTATCCTTCTACTTTCTGTTCTTATTACAAAAAAATATTAAAATGTTTAAGTGCCTGCACTGGATATCTAACACAGTTCTTCTAAAACCTGACAAGTGCGAATTGAAAAGCAAAGTCCCATTAATACAGAGTTGGAGAGTGTCACTGTGCTATTAAATATTAAGCCTGGAATGCTCTGGGCCTTGCATAAATCCGAGCAATAAAAGAAATGAAATGCCAGTGAGTGAGAATCTTACAACATGTTCAGTCAATTAAAATATATCTTTATGACTTTTATCTTCTTTGCAGACCACAGATGACATCCTGGTGGCCTCGGCTGAATGTCCTAGCGATGATGAGGACATCGATCCCTGTGAGCCGAGCTCAGGTGGGTTAGGTTAGTCAACTTTTTTATTACTTTCTTTTATTTCATATTTGCATGCTCCAGTCCCCCAGAGTCCCATTTAACGGGGCAGTCCTTTCTTACATAGCAGGGAGAAGTTGAATCGGGGCCTTTCTATACATGGCAGTGCCAGCAGAGGGGGGAGAGTTTGCTATAGGTCTTTGCTATTTCAGAGACAACGGATGGGAGCAGGTTGATAGTGGTGATCTGAGAAAGGTTATAGCTTGACCGAGGACCTGAGGCTGGACTGGGAAGGGCGTTCTGGGGCCCCTGCAACTGTATTGTCATGATAAAGAAGGACAATTTCATTTAGGAGAAAAATGTTGCAATTGCTTGTACGTTGAGCATTTTCCCCAAATAAGATGAAAGCACAGTATTTCAAGTGTCATATTATGAAGCAGAGTTCATTTTGAATTACTGTTTATGGTATGAAATACTGTATAAATGATTAAAAACCCGAAGACATAGAATACAACAGTCTCAAATTTCAAAAGGTTTTATGGCTTTTTTCAGAGTGTATGTTTCAGTTCTGATTAGAAATGAAAAGTTTTGACATTCTAGTATTTTCCACGGAACAAAAAATTTGTAATGTCTCTCCTACTCCCTCTAAATAATGGGGATTTGGTACTAATTTTTCTCACTGATATAATTTCCCACTTATCTTCATATTCAGTTAAATACTACATACCTTCTCTAAAAATCCAAATGTTTATCACAGATGTGAAAGGAATGCAAAACTTCACAATAGCAATCAGAAGAATTATGTTACTCTATAACCTTTAAAAATTCCAAAATGTCAAATGAACTGCTCCTGCTTTCTTTGTTGGCTTGGGTTAGCTTTTACCTTTTCTGACTGAACAGCTTGTGATACCGTATATGTCTCAGTTTTTCTTATTCACTTGAATTCTGCGCTATTGGGTAGCACGCCTACTGTCAGTTGGTTTAGATAATTTGGTACTCTTCAGTACTTGCTATAATACTTAATAATAAAAGAATTAAGATATATTTGTTGTGAACTAACATATTTAGTTTAAATAGAAATCAATGAAATTTGAGACTGGCCTGTACATTAATGCAAATCAAAACTGAGCCATCTTAGTACAACACCCAGATTGGGAAGCAGGGAATATGTCTACATAGCCTTAAGATAAATGCAATTTTGCTTCAAACGCAGATGCGTGGTTCCTTTTTGAAGTCACATAGCCTAATACCCACATGCAAAAGTTATTTATTTAAATTTAAGTAAAGGCAGAGTCATTTATGACTTGTCTCAGTGTTTGATGGACCTGCAGGGTGGCATTAGAGCTCTTCCAGGAACCAAGATATTTATAGATTTGATGAGAATACTTTGGTGTTGGTTTCTTTTGCTTGCCAATAAAAAAATTTTCAGAGCATTTTCCAAAATGCCACAAGATGGAATGAGCATTCTTAAAACTGAGCAGCAACAGATACACACACCTTACACATTTTTATGTCTCTTGGGAAGACATTTCACTTGCAGAAGTCCCAGATACCATGAGCAAGATATTTAGAAATTGTGATAAGAATTCATCTTTTGAAAGTTTGAAAATTAATTTCCAGGATTTTTTTTTCCTGCTTTTTCCTTCTCATTTTCAAATTCTTGAGTTTAACAAGACTGTTTTGTCCAGTACGAGTCAATGCAGTAGTTCATACGGCTCTGAGCTCATCCATGCCAATTGCTTCCTTGCTTTAGTTAACTCGGGCAGCACTGTTCAATAGATAAATTGACATTTATCTACTGTAAATGTAAGTAATTTTATTTTTTTTTTTATTTTATAAGGCAACTCTAAACCAACACATTAGTTACCTAGCACTAATTTTTTTTCCGAAGCCCTCTTAGAATGCAGCTGTTGTATTAGAAATGTAATCGTATTGGCTCAGCCTTACAGCTTGCTGAAAGCCAATGACCTTTCAGAATAATTCTTCTCTGAGGTTGTTCTGAACCTCAGATCGGGGGCTGCAATGCTTGGTAGTCCTGCAGCCATGCACAGTCATTTAGCTGGTGGGTGCAGGAATGGGAGAGTTGAAATGAAGGTTTTAATTTCTGTCCAAACTATGGTCCAGAAGGGGAATGTGAACGTTAGTCTTCCTGCAAAACCTTGCCATTAGCTTCACATCCTGGTGTTTAGCTTTCCTATTTCACCTTATCATTCGTCGCCCAGCTACACTTCTCTTTTTTTTTTATTTGAGAATGGTTTTACTGTTTCATTTCTTGGATCCCAACTGCTACTGCTTTTTTAAAAAAGTATGGATTGGCACAGGAATTATGTTCTCCATAATCCCAATTGTCTGGATCATTTTATCTGTCATTCTTCACATCAAAATGTCATTTGTCCTCCCACTCTCAACTCTTAAAAGCTATTAATTTGCCTCCCTCTTCATTGGCCTTGTCCTTTTCTCGTATTTGAAACAACATGAACCAAAGGGGTTACTGAAGTCATAACTTCGAGCATATCTGTCTCTCTTAGTCACTTAGTCCTATGAATAAGCTCTCTCCATGAATAGTCCTGTAGGCACTGCTCCATCTCAGGAACACTGCCGTCTCCATGTGGATTTGAGTTACACCTAATGTTAGGCTGGAACTTAAGGGAGAAAAGCATAATATTGTTGACAGTGACAGATTAATGATTTTTTTTATATTTTCATTTGGGATGGGACATGCAGAAGGATATGTCCCTCCATTTAAAGTCTTCCCATGGCTCAGTTCAGCTTTTTGCCATAACCTTTTTCACAAACGAGAGTTGCTTCTCCACAGCCACTCCTCCATGTCCTCACTGATGCTGGTCAAACTTTTGTTTCCTAACAGATACTTCTAGGCAGCAGAATATATGATTATTAGGACCATTTTACTATTATGTTTTCAATTCAGAGACCGTAGCCTGAGATCCTGTTAGATCTCTTCTTTTGCTGCCTGATGGTCAGTCAGCAAAGGGATCATAGAATCATAGAGCCATAGAATGGTTTTGGTTGGAAGGGACCTCAAAGCCCATCTATTCCCACCCCCCCTGCCATGGGCAGGGACACCCTCCCCTAGAGCACATTGCCCAAAGCCCCATCCAACCTGGCCTTGAACACTTCCAGGGATGGGGCATCCACAACCTCTCTGGGCAACCTGTTCCAGTGCCTCACCACCCTCACAGGGAAGAATTTCTTTCTAACATCTAATCTAAATTGACCCTCCTTCAGCTTAAACCCATTACCCCTTGTCCTGTCACTACACTCCCTGATAAACAGTCCCTCCCTGTATTTCCTGTAGGCCCCTTTAGACACTGGAAGACTGCAATTAGGTCTCCCTGGAGCCTTCTCTTCTCCAGGCTGAACAACCCCAACTCTCTCAGCCTGTCCTCATAGCAGAGGTGCTCCAGCCCTCTGATCAGCTTCATGGCCTCCTCTGGACTCACTCCAACAGGTCCACCCCAGCACAAGAGATGATGCATTCCAAGCTCTCAGGTCAACATTTTTCTAGCAATACTAGATTCAAGGGATGGCCAAAGCCCATTCAGTTTTATTGACAGAGCCATAACTGTACATTTACATAATGATTGCCCATAATATGCCTATTTCTAACCAAAGTTCTCAGCTCAAAATAAGAGCTTATTCAACAGTTTGGATATGGTAAACCTATATTTCATAGAAAATACTGATTAACTAGATTTTACTGATTAGCGAGATTTAAGCTTAAAATAGAATTTCTTTTCTAGAATAAATATGTTGCAGTTCATAGTGGCTAACAAGTCTTGGTCTGCTACCACCAGCTTCGCTTTCTGTGCACCTGTCTTCTAAATAATAAATGGAAAGATGCAATTTGCAACAAATTTGATATGGGACATAAAAACATAGACCAGATTAGGAGCTGCTAAGCAGCAATCCCATCAACTTGTCTGCAAGATAAAGTCACAAAAATTATAATTGCAGATTTCATTGTGGTATACAAACTGCTAAATGTGCCGTAATTGGATGAAGTTATAACAAATTTATTAGCATGCAAAACTTAGTCAACATATTTTGTTTGCGTTTTATTTTGTATAGTAAGGCAACATGTATTGCTTTCACAGTCTCTTCACATTCCCCTCTCCAACTCTAAATACTAATAAAACCATGAAGAATGATAATATCATTATTATTATTTTCACTTATTAAAACTTATTTATTAAATAAAACTTATTTATTAAGTTTCCTCAGGTTCATGTCATAGAGGAAATAATAAAGCCTTTTCATTTTGTAGACAAGTTATGAAAAATGTTCTTTGAAACGTATAAAAAAGAAAGGACCTGGGATGATTTACTGATTTTACGCGAAGAGTTATAAAACTGCGGGTGGACAAATTGCCATTTTGCACATCAGGACTGCTGTTCCAGCCTTTCCTGAGCCCTGTACGGAGCTCTGATTTCTGCTGAGTTTCAATGAGCATTTGTGCTACACAGCTTATTTGTTCCAGTTACACGGGGCTGGTATTTTATTTGTCAGTTATTAAATAGCCACTTCTGTAGCTATTGAAATGTTCCAAAACACAGAGAGGTCCAAACTGGGTCAAATGAAGTGAAATCATTGAGTTTAATGGCAGGGAAATCTAGACGAGGGCAAAAGTCTTACAGTTTTTAGCATGCACACAAACAGTTCTTTTTCTGCAAATTACAGTTAAATCCTTCTCAAATTCAAGACTTGGCGAAGGTTTAAGTTGGAAATTAGGTTCAAAACCTCTCCTGATGGCCCAGTAGAAATGGGATGGATAGAAGTTTTAGCAGTCTTAAAGCCAGAATATAGGGTATTCGCTGGTCTTGGAAGCTTTAGCAGAGGACAACTTTCAAAGTGAAAAAATGGTCTTGTAGAAACAAGCTTTTTTCAGGTTCAAACAGGTGTCTTTCTACCAACACAAGTTCACACGTTGCAACCAAATAAAATACTTCATCTCCTGATCAGCGTTTGTCTGGCAGCTCTCGGGTTCCACTTCCCAGGACAGTGTTTGATTGGTA